CTGTTCACATTCACTATGACATGTTCACTATCTGACTGCTGTTCACATTCACTATGACATGTTCACTATCTGACTGCTGTTCACACTCACTATGACATGTTCACTATCTGACTGCTGTTCACATTCACCATGACATGTTCACTATCTGACTGCTGTTCACATTCACCATGACATGTTCACTATCTGGCTATCCCCAGCTGCTGTTCACATTCACTATGACATGTTCACTATCTGACTGCTGTTCACATTCACTATGACATGTTCACTATCTGACTGCTGTTCACATTCACTATGACATGTTCACTCTCTGGCTATCCCCAGCTGCTGTTCACGTACCGTATGATCAATTACCACGCGCCGACCTACGACAACGATGAGGAGTTCCCGGGCTTTGCCCAGGCCATCGGCTGGGTCCTGTTGACCGTTGGTCTGTGTCCTGTACCTCTGTGGTTTGTGTGGAGGCTCATACAGTCGTACCGGGACCCCGAGGTCTACTCCACGGAGGAGGTCTGTTCGCTTGTTTGTCTGTCCGCCTGTTTGCTTGTTTGTTTGTCTGTTTGCTTATATATTTTCTGTTTGTTTGTTTGTTTATTCGTTTATTTGTTTGTTTTGTTTTGGTTTTTTGTTTAATTATTTAAGTTTATCTTATTTTTGTTTGTTTGTTTTATTGTTAGTTTGTCTAGTTGATCATTTGTCTGTTTGTTTGGGTGGTTGGTTGGTTGTGAAATGATGTTGGTCAAACACCACTTCCACCACTCTGGGCCACCCTACCACAATATGCCGAAGGCCCAGGAACTCTGGGCGGCGAGGTTCCCGGTTATTGAAAGCTAGGAATCGTAGGAATCGACTCCGAACCCAGTTACTTACTTTCCAATGATGGGATTTCTTCCTGTGGTTACCTGGTAGCTCCGTACATCTTCAGGATTTAGAATAACCTTGATTTCGGAACACTACGAAGCATCAATTTAAAAAAAGAAGATTTTACTGATTAAAGTAACAGGTAACGGCTGGTTTACGTAAAAAGGAGTCGGAACTTTTCTTTCGTAGCATTAGTCTTGGGAATCGGTTCCCGACTAGATTCTTCGCCCAGCTCTACCAATAACTTGCCTCACCAACAAGGC